GCCCGTTACTTTGTGGATATACTCTTGGTGTTGACAAGGTCTTGAATGCAGCTCTGAATTTGCTGGGTAGTGATATAGGACATGTAAATTAGTTCGTGCAGAGGCAGACCTATTTAAGAACTTGCAGGGTTTTTTTTTTTCATTTCCATTTTAAAAAAAAGTACAAACCAAAGCAAAATAGAACTGCAAACTTCCCATGGCAGAGAGGAGAGAACTCACTGTGTGACTACTGACTTAGCAGTAGTGCCTCTGTTTTTCATTAATGACCTTTTAAGCCTTATAGCACCTTTGCCAGGCAAAATATCGTGTTGCCTCCTTTTTCACCTCCTGGTGAGCATCTTCCGCTTTCTTAAGCTTGTGTATACAAAACAGAATCTTCCGCCACATGATATTCCGTGCTATTTTAATACAGTTTCTCCCAGATGTTACATGTTGTAATTGGAGCCCAGGGGTTTGCTCGCTCTTTGGATGGGTAAAGAAATCAAATAAGCAAAAGGTATCTTTCTGCCTCAGATCTCTAAGAATGTGCAGTTGCCTGAAGAGGGTAACACCAGATGCCACCTGTGTTAAAAATGTTTCTCTCCTTTTAAAAGATACAAATCTCTGGGCTAAATTCACCATCGCTTTAACTTCATGAATAGAATCAGACTGAGACCAGCAGGACATGTTTCTTCAGTTGTTTGTCTCCTGGACTAACATGTGAGCATAGGCACGTCTTGAGTTACAGGGAAATAGAGATGTCTGTGGGAATTATGCTCCAGAGGCTTGCTGCATTATTGAAGGTACATAATTTTATTACAGATCGGAGCAGCACATGGGACAGCTGATTTATTGTTGTTGTCGTATTTCACGTAATGAATATTTTACACAGAGGATTTTACTGCATGTATTAAAAAGTATAGGGCAATCCTTTGAAAATGCCAGTCTAAGCTTATTTTTAAGGAAAGCTGAAATTTATACACCTTGGTATACAAGCTGTTACTTAATAAATGAATCTTATAATCTAATCCAGTGCTCTTCTGTTAGCATCTTGTTAGGGGTAGAGGCTAGAAAGCAAAAGTAGGGATATGTTTTAAAATACAATACCCTTTATCTCTGTAATAGCGTTTTTATTATATACTAGACATTCTTTATAAGTAGTCGTGTATAGATGGTGACTGATAAACATCACATTGAAATTGTTTTGCAGCAGTGAGCTGGTCTTGATTGAACACGTGGGATAGGACTGACCTCGTTCTAGCACTCTATGCCTAATGATCGGTCTAAGGCTAGACTGATTGCTGCCCAAGATTGATGGCTTGGTTTGCTCCCCAGAGAAAAAAACCCACACAACTACCTTAGATATTGAAACCCAAGTATTAGACACTTCCAAGTCTAAGGGAAGCAACTGCCAGTAGTTTGCCATTAAAACTGGAAGCTGGATCTCTTGAATTGAAAAGCAAAATGTTTTTATTTCAGTGTGCTGTTGCAGATCCTCATTCGCGTTGGTTTTGGTTGCTGCCTCCCAGGTTTTTATCGAGATTAAATCTCTGTTTTAGCAATAAATTCCCTCTTGCTGCATACTGAGGAGTCCAGCCCATGGAGGAAAAGGGCACCACAGATTTTAATATTCACTTCCCAAAACACAAGATGAAATATTTTAGCTGTCCACTGAAGCAGTTCCCTTTTTGGTCCAGTGTTGAAACTCATTTGTCACTGGTTTATGCTTATACAAAAAAGAAAGTTGAGGCTTAGATATTTGGGGTTTGATCTTTGAATTAGGAGCTCGAAGCAGTCCATTTGTACCTGTCACTGCTGTTTCATTACCCGTTCCACTGCTTCCATAGCGTGGGCAGAGTATTCCTTCACGAAGCTGAAACTTGCTATCTTTTCTCAAATGAAAATAAATTCCGCAGTCAGCAGTTCTTTTCCTTCCAAGAATTCTTCTTAATTTTGCACTTTGCGGATGGTTCCTGCTACATTAAATTTCTTTTTCCTTTGAGTACAGTGATCCAAAAATCAAGCGAATAAGAGCTATGGGATGTGAAAGAGCACTGCACAACTTTGTTTCTAGCCTGCCTAAAGCAACCTTTCCATAAGTTGGCTTTTGGCTACGTGGACATACAGCAGAGCTGCAGTCTGCTCTAGGGTGGCTAAATCACGCTGGAATCGCTTTGCCTGTCACTGCTCTGGACCTGAGTGGTGCATCTGCACAGCTAGAAGGGCTTTTCCATCCATAATTCTTTGCGCAAGGGAATTCTGGAGTCGAGAGCAGTTAATAACTACCACAACGTGCTTGCATGTCTTATGATGTCCCAAAAAAATCAGACTCACCAGACCCCATTTGAGCTTAGGGTCTATGTAGATAGGACTACATTTCTTCTACATGGGAAAGAAACTACAGCTGACCCACGTCTCAGTTTAAGTTCTCATTTGTATGATGTCTTTAGAGTGAAAACAGAAGTTCTGTCTGAATAAGAGGCTGGTGATATATTGAACTAATTAAATTTAGCACTGAGTTAGACCATACCTGCCTGAAAGAAATGGTCTGAAATCACTGGAACTGAGCTTAGTCATTTGCAATTTGTAGAGTTTCCAGGCTGTGTCTATTCCAAGGCAGTACTATAAGAAAGTTTCCTTAAAGTGTGATTGAAATGCATATTTCTCCAAAGGATGCCAAGCTAGACTCTTTGACAGAGTAGGTTTTATCTGCTAATTAAATTACTCGAAGAGAGTCGTCATTTCTATTTTGACTTCACCATAGGATGTGGTTCTCTAGCTTGTCCTGCTAGGAGTAGATACTGCACTCATAAATAAAGAACAGGACTGGATCTTCCCATGATAAGCTCATTCTTTTTACTGCTATTTATTCGATGAAATCTGGCACCTTGCACAAATCCTCGTCACGGTTCTCCTGGACACTGCAGAATCTGAGGTTCCACTGTTGCAGTAAGGTGGGATTTCTGTGCCTCGTGGCTTTTGCCAGGCTTACTGGGTGAGACCCAAAGTCTTCCAGCTCAGGGTCCTGCCTCCAACAGCAACCAGTGGTGGATGCTTGGGGAGGAACACGGTCACCAGGTCAGACTGTGGGGTATCTACCTGATTATGACCTTCTAACATTCACTGGCTGGAGAAGGAGGAAGCACAGATTTGTCTTCGGTTAATTTGTCTAACCACTTTGATTTTTTGTTCAGGCTTTTAACCTCTGTATTGCTGGGCGGCAGTGAATTTTGTAACTCATTACGTATCCTGTGGAAAAGTACTTCTTGTTTTTTGCTGCTTCTAAATCTCGCCCCTGGTAATTTCTATGGATTCCTACTAGTTCCTGTTTTATGAAGAGTAGTAAATAACAACTCCCTGACTACCTTTTCTGCGCTATTCATGATTTATAGACCACTATAAAGTTCCGCTACTTCTCCTGGCTTGAAAAGTTATGTTTTGTTTACTCTTAGCCCATACAAATCCGTGCTATTCAAAGTGCTGTTTAAGCAGTTGTGGTAATTAAAAGAGGTAAATTAAACATGCGCCTGGGTACAGAAGCACTGAGAATTTGTGGCTATCCCTAAGGTTATTGGAAGGCATCTTCAGGCTGAAAATCAGGGCCTTGGTTTAGAAATATGGAGAGATCAATAAGGATCCTCACAAAGGGATTCACCTATGTCTGAGCTGGAGAACAGCATCAAGCCACATAATCAGCATTCTGCGAAGTTCTGCTCCATCCAAATGCTACCAAATATTTATTACCCGTACTGAATATAAGCAGCCAGGCTTTCTGAAATGATCATAAAAAAAATAATCACCGTACCTTAACTGGAAAGATACTTTGTTTTATCCTCCAAGGATCAAGGACAATGTTGTGCCCATTTCATTCTACCACAAGTTTTTGGGAGTTGGAGCATTTGAATCCAAAACTCAGAGACTTTGGTGCTACCAATGGACTGTCTATTCCTGTACCCCGGGAACCGAGAATCTGCTGAAGGGGAATGTTTTTAGGAGCAAATCTATTCATACGCAAGTCTCAAATTATCTTCAATAGCATGCCTCAGCCAAATCTTAAAAAGAATACAAGTACACATTAATTAAGAATTAACATAATTCTGTTCCTTGAGTGTGGTGTTTATTAAAATATAAACATTGTGAACATACACTTGAGAGGAAGCTTCTAAATATTTTTAAAAGCTTAATTTTCAGTCACCCTTTATTTAATTTTTCATTAGGCGAGAAGAAAGAAAATGGCACTTGACTTTCTGAAACTTTCCATTTGCTTCTCAGATATAGCATCACAAAGTTGCTGAGTGTCCTTAACTCTGCTGATAGGGCAAAATGATTTAGATTTATATGAAAAGCAGAGACATGGGATGACATTTTCAAAAGCGCCTGGAAGCTGCATTTGCGAAGCTGCTCAAAGAACCAAGAAAATATGCAAAGGGATTTTTAGGCATATGTGCTGACCATTAATGCAGTTTTCACATTAGAATTTTGAGAAATTTACATTCTTGGGCATTTAAATGCTTTTAGAAATCTGACTACTGTAATACTACGAATAACGTTTTTAAAAACTAATTGAGTGATGGAAGACCTGAGCATCTGGTGACTTCCACGACTGTTTTGAAAACAGGATTTAACCTTTGTCCTGCCACACCAAGCAGCAAAACACCTAAATACTCTTGGAAGTATCGGTGAATAGTCCCTTGCTTGTAACCTGAGCTTTCACACCGCCTCACAATTAGCCACACAGGAAAATACTAACGGTCTGCAGGAGATTTTGCACTCCAGAAAACATCTTTCCACAGGCTTGCAGGTGTGGGAAATGGGACAGCACAACAGGGACCGGTTTGCGTCTAGATGGATCTCACAGAATGAAGAGGACCTTTAAAGGTCCCTTCCATCCCCAAAAAGTCTATGATTCATCCTATGACTAAGTTTGCTAATGATTCTCAGCTCCTTCTTCAACTTGTGTTCCGCTTTGCCCTGCGTGTCTGTCTTCCTGCCGACTTACTGAACTTCTCTGTGTTTTGCAGAATGCCAAAGCCAGCTATGACTTCAGCAGTAATGATCCCTACCCCTACCCCCGCTATACAGATGACTGGTTTAACAGGTAAATGGCTTTTTATCAGCTTGCTCTTCACTTGGGTTTTCTTAAAAATAATTCAATATTTGCTGGTATTTGTGGAATGCCTATTTTCTGCTCAATTCAGTGATTGACAGAACACAAGCTACAGTCTCCCTACTACTTGAAAATCAGTTTACTTATGACTTCGTTTTTTTTTTAGGTAACCTCTAAATAGTTTATAAATGAAGTTGCGGCTTTAGAAGAGTATGTGTTTAGGTTGTTTCAAAGAGTGAGAGCCATATACCTTTTTCTGTCAACTATCCTAGGACTTTATGATAATCCAAATCTGTATAGACTGGTTTCCAACCTACTGAGGCAGTCTCACTGTTAGCTAATTATAAAGGGAGTAAGCTGGAGACAGGAAAAGGCTTCAGGGGGTAAAAAAGTCTTTTCATCTGATTATAGACTAAGAAGGCAGAAAAGCAGCATGGTGTACAATGAGCAGTTTAAAAACAATTAAATCTTACATAAAGTTCTGAATCATCTGTCACTTCACCTTGATTTAAGGACGGTGTACATGGGTAGCATTTCAGGGCTGATTCTCAGATATTTCTGGCTGCTGGAGGAATTAAAGTCCACATGCACTGACTGAGTGAGAACCTGTTCTGTTGTGTTTATAAACCTGCAGCTGTGCTTGTCGTGTTATTTCTCCTGAACACATCGTGATTGCCCAAGACCCACCCTTCAATATGTTCTGAACTTAGCCGGTTTTATGCAGGAGAAGGTCTGGTCCTCTAGGTATGGTATAAATAAGAATGGTTGAAAAGAAAAAGCTTTGGATTTTAGAAAGTGTGACTTCTTTTGTTTCCTTAAACTCATTTTGTCTTAAAATGGTACACAAACATGTTTCTACAGTTTTTTTAAAAAACACGTGCCCAAATTTCTGCAGCTGTCCCATGAAAAAGCCCTTTCTGGCAGGCTCCTGATGAGATGTTGGTGTAATCCAGGGTGCAGAGTCCAAGGCACACCTAGAAGGTGTGTTTATTACCTGATGATCTCAGTGTCCTGCATCTCTGGCTCTGCAGCATACTCCTCGGGGTCTCAGGCAGGGTCTCCCTTGGATTTGCAAAAAATTGTTTCAGGATATTTTCAAGTGAAATTTTCGAATGTCTTCTAGATGTAAATATAACTAGTGTTGTCAGCATTTACGTAGCAGCACCGCTGAGGATTTGAAGACTTTGAAAGGTTTCAGGGCTCAGTCTAAGTGTTTACCAGAAAATATTTCAAGCCTATTTAATACAGTTTTCATCTTTAACTTAATATATCTGTATGGATGGCCTCAAAGTTTTGTATGGAGATTTTTTGGGGGGGATTTTCTTAAGAAATCAATTTTAGCTCTATCAGAGGGACACAACAAAGAAGCGGAGCAGCTGTGCTTCCACCTCAGACTTGAGCTTCCTGGGATGGATGAAATGGATTTAGGAGCTGGGATGCTCTCCTTTGTGGTCCTGTCGTTTTTCAGCCACAGCAAGATGCCAGTGAGATTTGTCCTTCATTTTGGGAAAGGGCATCTGACACTTTTAAACTAATATGAATCCAATTAGTGAATGGAAAGCCAGAGAAAGACTAGGGCTCTAATTTGTGAAGGTCTGCTGCCTTTCTCACTTTATTTATGCAGAGGATCTTTGTAGGAGAAAGATATCACTTAGCTCTGGAGCAGCACAGAGGAAAATTAAATTTTACTTTAGTGGGTAATGGTAGCTTCTGTCATTTTTAGCGTGGAGCTTCATAAAAATAAGTGTATTCTGCCAAGCCCCATTAACACCGAGTGTGCTGCTATCCACTGTTTTGTAGTGGGCCACAGCTCGTTGTCCTCGCACGTTCTGTAAGTGGCCCTGGAGGCAGAGTTACCTCCTCTTAAAATGGGCCTCAAACACCCTGGATGTGGCAAGGCTTGTGGCTTCTGGCCCCGGGGGCTTCTGGCTAACTTCAGGGACCCAAGCCAAGAGTCAAGGGTGAGTAGCATGGTCGCCATCTGAGAACAACATGATTCAGGTTTTCAGAGAGCTGCAACTTTTTTTATTTTCTTGTGGAGATGGGGAGCTCAAGTCAGGAGGAGAAAAGCAATGCAGAAATTGCTTTGCAGATTTCCTTCGTTATTCTTTGCCCCCAAAATTGGTACCTGGCAAGTATAGCATTCTTTGTCATGAACCTTGAGGTTTCTTTGTAGAGAGAGGGAATTTTCTGCCTTGCAAGGTAAACTGTGGGAGCAATGCATGCAGTAAAGCAGCCCTTTCCTGCCTGCACAGTTCAAGAATCTAAATATCTGATGGCAATATGTAAATGCCAACCTGACTTAAAAATGGCTTTTTCTTTTTTTAACAGATTTGAACTTGAGACTTCTGTATGCACAAATCAGTGTCTCTTCTTGTGCTTCAAAAGGGCATTAGAATTATCACTAATTGTGTTTTAATGGAGGCTGTATATAAGTTTAACCCTAACCCAGAGGACAGACTATTTTGAATTGGGCGGGGAGAGGGAAACAGCACAGGGAAATGAGAAGGTGAATGCTGGTGAATACATAGCACACAGCTATACCTTTATTAGGGATTTTTAATCTCGGTGGCGGAACAAGGACATCTATTTACTCAGATAATGAAAGCTGAAGTGGTGCAAACACATTTTTAAGAGCAAATCAAGGTAAAGGTTTGAGCCATTCACCACTATAATGTATAACGACATCTTTGTCTATAAGTGGAGCTATTGCAATTAATACCGCCCTCTTTGTAAAGTGAATACATATATATCTCCTTAATTTGAAAAAAAAATAAAAAATCCCCTGTACTCAGCTTTGGTGAGGCTGCACCTCGATTATTGTGCTGAGTTTTTGGGCCTCTCGCTACAAGAGGGATATTGAGGTGCTGGAGAGGGTAGAGAGTTGGGCTGCCTAGCTGGTAAAAGTCTTATGAGGAAAGGCTGAGGGATCTGGAGCTGTTTAGCCTAGAGAAGAAGAGACTGAGGGGAGACCTTCTCACTCTCTACAACTACCTGAAAGGAGGTTGTAGCGAGGTGGAGGTTGGTCTGTTCTGCCTAGTGTCAAGTGATGGCACACGGGGAAATGACCTTAAGTTGCGCCAGGAGAGGTTCACGCTGGGTATTGGGAAGAATTTCTTTACCGAAAGGGTTGTCAGGCATTGGAAGAGGCTGCCCCGGGAGGTGGTTGAGTCAGCATCCCTGGAGGTGTTTCTGAGATGGGTAAATGTTGCACTGAGGGACATGATTTAGTGTTGACAGGGCTAGGAAAAGGTTGGACTTCATGATCCAGAAGGTCTCTTGCAGCTGAAAATGTTCTATTACTCTATGATTCTAAGAAGGCTTTAAGATGCAAATTTTTAAGTTTTTTCCAGGCTAAGATGAAAACCAACACACCACATCCAGCTGTTCAGTGGTTGTAACTATGTTTTCTCTGTTTTTCTGTATTTCTTTGCTAAACTAGTAATCAAGCTGATGTGCTTACATATAAGGTATTGTCATAACTTCAGACTCCTGAATTATTATTGTTATTATTGGTGAGTTACAACTGTCTGCCTGTGACAGTCTGTCTATCCGTATGTGTAGCTGCACAGGTGTGCCTGGATAGAGGAGCTGCACAGGAAAGCCGCTCAGAAAATGTGCAATAAGGGCTCCATTGTGCTCACTTTGCAGTCAGTGATGTATCTCCCATTGAATTTTGTGCATGCAGGAGAATCAGACTCCAAACGGGATAGCGTAATATCCCTTTTTCCATAAAGAATACATTTCTATGTGAGCAATTCAAGTGCTTTGTGGAACAAGAAGCAGAGGACTGTTTTTTAAAGAGATGAACCAAGGCGCTTTTGTGAGCTGCCAGCTGCATGTGCAAAGTGGCATTAGACTTTAAGAAAAGGAAGGAGAGTGTTTTGCGTGGAGTATTTCATTAATCGCAGCTGCTCTGCTTGTGAGCACAGATTCTCCTTCCACTTTCTGCTTTTTAAGGCTGCTGGAAACACTTTGGCCTTTCCATCTAAGAGCCACTGGCCTATGAAACCAAGCAGGGTGGGTTTTGGAAGGGGAGAGTGTGGTACCTCGGGCAAGGAATTGCAGTCGAGCAATTGAGCTGCCGTTACAGGGTGAGGCATGTAGATGACTGGGCAGCCAAGGACTTTATTCCCATGTTTGCCATACTGACAGCTTGACTGTGTTCAGACCCGCAGCTTGGGGGCCAAGCCAGGATAGGGAACACTGGGTGCAACATGAAGCAGAGCTGCATTTGAGCCTGTGGGAGCATGAAGGACCCTGAACCAAGCCCTGTTCCCAAAAGCAGAGGCAGCCCCAAAGCACTCGGAGTGGTTTTTAGGACCCGTGTGGGAAACTGCCAGAGATTTTTCACACCCGCTCCTCCTGAACCACATTTAGGACCTTGGCATCTACCATATTGTGCAGTGCGGAGGTACCCAGTCAGCAGTAGCTTGGCCTTTCTGTACAGCCCTCTGGTTTCTTGTTGTCAGTATGCAGAACCAGGGCATTACCAATTTCTGCCATGGTATAAATAACCAATAATTATTTCCATTCCTATAGCCTTTGTATTCTGTATATTCTCTCACTCAGATAAGAGTTAGCTGGACAAAAACTATTCACTATCTTGAAACCCATACTCTTGAGAGGTAAAAATGTCCTTTGCTTATTACGGATCCAAACAAAACACCACTGAGTCAAGGAAGGAACTCCCCTTGGCTTCCAGACAGTGCTCATTAACAGGATAAAAACACCTGCTTCCCTCCTCCTCATTTTTCAATCAATGCAATGGAAGCAACATAATAATTGAGAATTTGTATGAGCAGATTTAGCAGCTCTTTCTACCTGCAGTGTTACGACCCGAGCGTCAAGGAGGAGCCACAGCACCACTGCTGGTTCTTGGCTTGTTTGGATGCAGGCAGAGTGGCATGTTCCCCAAAGTCATGAAACCTTTCCGTTATGCAAAACACTCTGATGCTCAGAAGCTGACAATGCCACATGAGTAAAAAGGAGATGGCGTTTGCCCCACGATGGTATCCTTCTGAGCTTTGCATATTTTACTGCTGCCCACTTCAAGCGACTGAAGTGGTTCAAGATAGAATCATAGAATCATGAAGGTTGGAAAAGACCTCTAAGATCATCTTGTCCAACCATCAACCCAACACTGCCATGACCATTAGACCATGTCCCAAAGTGTCACATCTGCACGTTTTCTGAACACCTCCAGGGATGGTGATTCCACCACTCCCCTGGGCAACCTGTTCCAGTGCTTCGCCAAGGTTGTCCCACCTGCTGGGCAGGATGTTCCAGCTACTGAGACTGCAGCTCTGCGTAGCCCTCCCCTGCGGAAAGCTGAGGTTAGAAAGGGTGGATTCTGTTCTTTGCTGTCTGCAGAAGCATTTCAAAGCCGATGAAAAGAAACCGCATTGAAAATCTGTGCCACCTCTGACTCTTCTAAAAAAGTATGTCGGTAGAAGGGCTTCCACAATAGACTTCAAAGACGAAGCAGAGTGAAATTTTGGTAACTAGTACAGATTTGTTATTTAAGCTAGCTGAAGGCAAAACTGTTTTTCAATGAATGTTCACCTTAGTTTTACATGAATGTTCATGTAAAATGTTCACATTTATATAATGTTTATGGAAAATTTGCAGTACGTGCTAATATATGACTTGCTGCACATGCTGATATGTGATTTACGTTTGAAGTAACTTGTTCATAGGTGAAAATACTCTTAATTGTGATTCTTTTAAACATTGGCACAAGGGTGAAGAGGTGAACATTGGAGAGAAAAGCTGTGATTTTTGCCTGTGACATGGGTCACTTCACAGAAACCACAATGGGTTTGTCGGTGATACATGAGCAGCAGATAGGGGTAAATTGGAAAAATCTGCTATTTGCCATTAATAATTCAACCAAATACATTTCCTCTAGTATGAATGTGGGGTTTTTTCTCCAGTTAGCAGCAACGGTATCTAAACCCTGACCCGCTGGAATAGGTCTACTTGCAGTCCAGTGCGCTGGGGAGGCGAGGTGGGGGAGAGGGTGTCTGATGAAATCTTTTCGCCAGGAAGGTCCTAATATAGTTTTTCCCTCTGTGAGAGAAAGAGCTCACCTGGCAGTGTCACCAATTTTTTGCACCCTAGCATCAGCGAAGACAATTTTTTAACAAGGCCATTTATTCTGCTCTGTGGCTTGTCGCTAGCCCACAGGTAGATAGGTAATGAATGCCTAGCAACAGTTTATTTTTTTTCACAGTTCCTTGAACAAGGGCATGAGGGAAAACCTGCTCGATTGTTGAAAGAAATTTCTCCATCAGCTGAATAAGAAAGCTGTATCCCTCTACTCTCTGCCCCCTTTGTAAGAAGAATTCGCGTGAGATCATCACCTTTTCGTGATCAAGACGTTGTGTACATTCAAGGCCAGTCACTTCCTTTCGTGCGGCTGCCTTTGAAATCTTTTCTGCCAAGTGCAGCAGGAAGAAGAATGTGTTGCTTCTCACCCCTTTATTAATGTTACGCACCTTTGCCAGAGGTGCTTAAAGAGAAAAAGAGAGAAAAAGATGATTAAAACAAAGCAATTCTGCTGCCTCCCGGGATGGTTCATGGGGTACCCTGTATAGCCTTTATAAGACAGCACCGCTAATTGCGTGAATCCTTCGCATGCTATAGGAGCAATGACAGTTTTAATGCACAGAGTCGATTGATGTGAGCAGTAGGAGGGATTCGTATTGATTCAACAAAAAACCTGACCGCAGCACAGGTTCCACTAGTTTCTCTGCTGCTGTGCTGGTTTTTTTTAGAACTAGATTGCGTTGTCCGTATTTATCTTCTCTGTGGTTTAATTTTTGTGATGAATTAGGAGAAAGGAAAGTGCAATCTGCCTTCCTGCAAGGCTGTCTCGGAGCCACTGCCAGTTAAAGGGTCTCCGTTAAGAGCTGTAAAGCACTTCAGAGATGCCAAGTGTTCTTGAAATGCCACGTGTCAGCCCGAACCTGGACCTCTGTGTCAGAGCAGAGACGTTTCCCACTTGAGAAGAAATCAGTAGCTCCATGAGCTGACAGCCAGAGCACCGTGTCAGCTCTCCTGGGAGTTAGACACTGGAGGAGAGAGATGCACGTGCCCTTAGAGTCCAGCCAGCTTTGGGCTTGGCTGGCCAGGCCAGAAAAAAGACGATCAGGCTTAGTTCTGTGGAGTTCAAAATAGTGAGTGTTGTGCTATCAAGTCACAAAGATAAAAGACTTAATGCTGATCTCATTTTTAACGCTGTTCTGCCAAGGGCCCGTTTCTACGAATAGTTGGTCACAAGGCAGAACCTGTTTCACAGAGTTACAAAGAAAAGATCTGACTAACTTTATAACTAAATGAAGCTTAAGTATGCATGTTAACCTCAGAGCAAGCGTCGCTCGTACTGCAGAGGGGAAGTTGATTATTTCCTGCTTCAGGAAGGAATGAGCTCATCCGAGTATCCAAGCACAGCACTCAGCGGTTTGTCACGGAGCAGTTTTCTTCTGAAGCACCGGGAGCTGACAAAAACAAAGATGAGGCAAAGCCAAGATCACAGTGACCCAGCTCAGTTCAGCCCATGCATTGACGAGGCTTCACGTGGTGTCTTTGTTTTCCTTTTTGCAGCCACGGGACAAGGTGTGCGGGAGAGGTGTCTGCTGCTGCCAACAACAACATCTGTGGCGTGGGAGTTGCGTACAACTCCAAAGTGGCAGGTATGGTGGCAATTCAAGGTCCTTACACCACTGTGCCTCAAGCAGAACTTGTCCTGCAGAGACAGGGAGCGTTGCCCATGCCAGGACTGCAGGTTGGCATGTGGCCATGTGTTTATTAGTTTTCACAGTAGCTGGGGAGAGGAATTTCTCCATGGCTTTGCCTTTTCAATCGAGGGCCTTATACAGCCTCTTTAATAACATTGCAGAGAACAGCTCTGCTTCTTATGCCAACTCCTGTTTGTATACTGATTTTCAGCCCCTCTTCCCTGCGTCGCTGCGGAATCATTTGTGAGAAATCTCATTCTGCAGGAGGTAAAATATAAATTCCTGCCGCACTTACAAACTATTTGAAAAGGCACATCCCGTGCTGCTCTTATTCTTCAGGCTCTCGCAGGGCAGGGCCTGCAGTGCTGTAAATCTCTGCGGTCGTTGGTTTCCTCTATTTTAAGAAGCGATGCAGAGTGGTAGGAGCAGATGCACGGGATGAAATGAGTGGTGCCTGGCACCCAGCATTCACACCTCGGGTGTGTTGGGTATTTTTACATCTAACTAGCTCCTGTCTGCCCTGCTAGACTGAATCCAGTGCGTGAGGTGACTTATACTGGTGGACAGCATGTGTCAGTTTAGTTTAATCTGAGGAAATCCAGGTTTCCCGCTCTTAAGACTGTTCCATGATGAGAAACCAAAGCACAGCAAGCAGAAGTAGATGCTTATGAATTTCACTTTCATTCCCTGATCCACACTAAAACACCGGTGTGGATGCACCTATTCCTTCCCGGGAGTGGTTCACAATGTGTGTGCGTGGGCAGCTCTGCTCTGCTTGGCCAGTCCCTGTTTCACCGCGGTGTCAGAAGAATCTGGGAAAGGCTACGTTTCACCTACAAGGTCAAAAGCTGAATCTCCACTGTAGAGAGGCACCAAGCAATGTTTGCTAACCTGTTACCCCAAGAAATACCAGTGAGAGTTAGACTTGGCCAGGCAAGTCTAGTGCTTGCCCCCTTTCTTCAGTAATAGTAATGTCGCCTTCAGGGATGGGACACTTCACAAAATTCACGTTCTGGCAATAGCTACTTTTCAAGGAACGTGAACTGAAGCCTGAGATTCTGGCCGGATCGCATCTGGATTATCAGCATAACTCAAGATGGTTGCTTAAAACTCAAGTGTAAGCCATTTCTGATGACCAGCAGCCTACAGATAATGTTTCGGGCTTTCCCACTTGGTAGCAAAATCCCCACAGATTTGTGGCAGTGGCTGCCTTTTCTGCCTGAGGACAGCGTGCACCTGCAGCCCCACCGTGTGGTCAGTGGGAACGTGGAAGTTCATTAGAACCAAAAGTCAGCTGCTGACACCATTCGGGGTCCACATTTACAGGTGGAACTGGGAGTTGGTAGCCAAGGATCTGCGACACCGTGTCTTTTGCTTCCTGCACCTCTTTTTTGCCCTAAAGTCAAACCGGATGTCTTGGCTCCTCCGGTTGTTCCCCCTTCTCCCCAGGATTAATAATTAATTCCGTAGTTTCAGTGCTGATCTGCATTTTGCAAGCATGTGGTGGGATTTCTCACTCATTGACTTTGCTATTTCTAGCTTGAATTAGCAGATCAGGAATATCCAGCTTTGGTCTGGTTTCTGTTTGAACTTTATACCAGTTTTGCCAGGCTCACGTTTGGCACATGCATTTTGTATTGACTGTAGTAAAAGCACCCTCACTGCCATTCACAGTTTGGCTCTGTGGGTATTGATTTCTGTCCCATCTGTGTCCTAAAACTGTTGGGAAAAACTGAACTTCAACTCAAGGCTACAAAAGAGAGTTGGAATGTGTCCCTGCTTACTCAGGTCTCATGCAAAGGCCACGGAAAGGTGGGAGGTGATGGATGTGACAGCTTGTGCTGCTTTGTCACTCTCTGACTTGCCTAGGGTTAACACTTCAAGATTTTTGTTGGCATGTCCGAGGATTGTATCATTTAAACTCCAACTCAATTTCTGTTACAGTATGGGCTCAAGAGAGCAGGTTTTAGTTTGCTTTTTCCCTCCAAATACTGGCTATATTTTTGCTATTGCATCGCAATGATATTTTTCAGGAAATCGTTGTCTAGTGTGTTCTTGCCTAGGGTTAACACTTCAAGATTTTTGTTGGCATGTCCGAGGATTGTATCATTTAAACTCCAACTCAATTTCTGTTACAGTATGGGCTCAAGAGAGCAGGTTTTAGTTTGCCTTTTCCCTCCAAATACTGGCTATATTTTTGCTATTGCATCTGCATGTTGACGCAATGATATTTTTCCAGGAAATCGTTGTGTAGTGTGTTTCCCCTCTCAGACTAACTTCTGGAGAACAACCAAAATAAACAGAAAGATTATGTGAAAAGGTAATGAAGTGTCAACGCATCACTGAGCGTAAACTAGAAGTGGAGGGAGTGTTAATCCTTTTTCCTAGCTGTTAGAAGATAGTATTTTAAATACTATTATACATTTAAATATATTATTGAAATGTGGAGATTGCTGAATACTACTATTTTGAAGTGTTTTCAAATAGCAGATGGAAAATACTGTGTAATTAGGAAGCTAACAATAAAGTAATTTCTCTTTCTGGGCCACGTTGCTTTGCTGTGGCTGGGGGTGTAAGTGCTGGGTAAGCACACCCTGGTGAAACGTGAATTGGCGAGCACAGAATTACTGAGTGCGTAAGACTGCCAGTGAATTAAAATACCTGTAACTGGGGCACTTCTGCAGGTGCTGAGATTTCATCTTGTGCTGGGTAATGCATAATTCATGTTTATGTTGATTAAATCTACAGGTATTCGAATGCTCGACCAGCCATTTATGACGGACATTATTGAGGCTTCCTCTATCAGTCATATGCCTCAAGTCATAGATATATATAGTGCCAGCTGGGGACCGACTGATAATGGAAAGACTGTGGATGGACCTAGAGAGCTAACGCTGCAAGCGATGGCAGATGGCGTGAACAAGGTAAAACGATCTTATTAAATAATTTTGCACTGATACCAATGACTTAGGAATACGTGATCTTCCCATAGATGTTGCAGAACACAACGCAGTTGTGCAAACTACCCCAACTTCAGCGTATTTCAGGGCCCGCTGACGTTCTCTGCGATATTGTGGCATTGTGGCAAGTGGTCTCAGGATAATGTGCTCTCGTGCAATGAACTCAGTTTATCTCCAGTCAGCATACAAAGGCATTTCATACACCGTCACAGTCAAAATGGAAGAGCCTGATCCTGCAAATAGTCCCCAGGATGAAACACATCAGTTGTACTACTGACATCACATTGTCTGTTTTGGTGTGCTACCAATTTAATTGTTGGTTTGGATTTGTAGTGTCTTTCAGGTGACTCGTGCATAGTCATTGTTACAGCTGTGGTTGAACCGCAACTGTTCAGATGTCCATGGAGTAATATTATTCCCCAGGAACAGGAGCCTCCTTGTTTATTCCCACCTCTCCACCTCCTTCTAGGAACAGCCTGTGGTCTTTGTTAAAGATGCTCAAAATCAATATCTGTTAGATGATTGGGTAAAATGTGTACCACAACTCAAAAAGAAAACAAATCAGTCTAAAACAACCAACCAAACCTTGCACGGCTCTGTCTCCATGTCTTTTGTGTCACACAGCCAGGACAACCACAGCTGCTCCTGGTGCTGTAGAGAATGATGCTCCTCCCCTTAGTTGATGGTAGATGGATTTCCATAATGAAAAGGTCTGAAATTCTCCAGAACACCTGGGATGGTTTCGTATGGGAGCTCCACAATTACTCATTTTTCCATCCAAATTATTTATCCTTCTTAACTCACAGGACAACCACAGCTGCTCCTGGTGCTGTAGGGAATGATCCTCCTCCCCTTAGTTGATGGTAGATGGATTTACATAATGAAAAGGTCCTGAAATTCTCCAGAATACCTGAGGTGGTTTTGTGTGGGAGCTCCACAATTACTCATTTTTCCACCCTAATTATTTCTTCCTCTTAACTCGTGCCAGTTTCTCCCACTCTTCATCACCATCTCACTGGGAGCAGCACATTCAGTTTTCCATGTTTTGTGACATGATAATTCAATCTGCTGCTGTGCTGGGTTGTGAAGCGTCTAAAGCTCTCTCAAATTCTGAGTTTCAAATGTTTTGCCTGTAACAGGTGAGTTAGAGTCATCTTCATGCTCTTGCCCATAAAACTGGGAATGTACTGCAGTAATGCAGGAAGACTTGTCACAAACTTCTGAGTCTGCTCAGTTTTGTACTATAAACTTTATAAACCTCTGATGAGCTCCAAGTCCCTCTGAAGTCATCTTTCACAAACTATATTTCTTCTCATGACTTTATTTCGTTCACCTAGTGTTTCTGTAAATATCGCCTTAAATACTTCTGTCTTGGGGACAGTCTTTTTGGGGTATGTGACACAGCCAGTATAGTTTTAGGTACGCCTTGATGTCTTACAGTTAGTGGATACTTGATCTTCCTTCCACTAATGTTGGTTGGAGCAGGGAGAATACAGAAGAATTCCCGTATCATTTTTGTGTTATTCTTCTCCCACAGAGAACTCAACTAAAAGTAACAGAAAAGGTACTAATAATCCCAGCAGAGGAATGCAGACTAAACTGGAGGTATTTTACCCCTCAAGAGAACTAGATTCTAAATTGTAGTCTTTTTTTTTTTTTTTAAGTTTGGTATTTAAAGGATCTTTCAATTAACTTGCTTTCATATCACCATATACTTTAGTTTGTGGAGTTAGGCTGGAATTAGCCTACTTTTTTGAATGTTAAATATAGGAGAAGGGATTTTTATGTTCTGTTTTCATAGTCCCATAGTTTGGAGTGTTGACCATATTACTTTTTTATTGCCTTCCCCTTAGAAGTGTTTGAGGTTCTCTTTAAAAAATAATTTGAAATAATAAAATTAGAAGGGGCCCTAAGATCTCTCAGGTTAAATGCTTGTGAAGGAGAGAGAATGGTGACGGTGAGCTGTGCCCTGGGAAGGATTGCTCTTGTACCTCACCAGAAAGCATAAAATTAACAAGCGAGCTTGCTTTAGGAAACCAGTTATTCTCAACAGCTATTACAGAATTAGAGAGCAGAAGGATTGATGTTGGTTCCTACCTAAGAAAGATACTATTTTCCACAGGCAATTGCACTTTATTTTATAGTGGCCATATCCCAGCTAACTCCTGGCAATACATGATGGAAGAAGAGACAGCTCCACCCCAAATACCTCCTTTTGTTTTGCAATCGTAGCTTTATCTGGTTTTATTTCGCTCATTATGTTTCCTGTCACAGAATGCTTTTTTGGGGGTATAGTTTGTTCTGATCTCTTCTTGTGAAGAGCCAGATTTTCTAAAGATATTTCAAGATGTCAGTGGATGCTGGGTACTCTCCATAGCACTTTGAAAAACTCACTGCAGACTTTCCTGCGTGTAAAGGAAGACGAGCGAGCCTTTCATGTAATACACTTTTACCTAGTTTATGCCTGTAGTATATGCATCGAATTCATTATTGACTGTAAAAATGTAAATTTATTTATGACCATTTTTTCAGAATAAACCCCCCTCTTATTAAAGAGAAAAGTTTCTTTTATAAGCTGAGAGACAGATAAGGGTAGGAATTATTTTTCTCCATCTAGAGCTGATTCTCACCAGAGTGATGGTTCACGAATTAGTGAGGTATCTGAAATATTGGCAGACAGGAAGCAACATGCTGAGAATTAAGATGTGTTATTAAAAAAGCTATACTTTGAAACATCCTAGAAGGGTATGTAAGATCTCTTGCACAGAGTGAGATTAATATCCTTAAGATCCTGCAATAAACTAAAAATAAATAAGTGGGAGTGATACGAAGTTTTTACGTGGAGCATGCAGTTAGCTGAGTTGACAAACAGTTACCATTTACCTTGTTGCCACCACGCTTGGGAACCCGGCTCAGGATGAAACTCCCTGGCAAGAGTTTCGTCCTTCCCTGAAACTCTGCTCCACTGTCATGTCCTTTTGAATCCTCCTTCGAGGGGTAACTGATAATAAGATTATGAAAAGCGCTGAAACTCTTGAGACTTCTTCTTTGTATGTCGGTTTTTGTGACTTGAAGCTGTGCAGCCATAACCAGGTGGGCTAAGGCTGATGAATCTTCTTACCTTTCCTCTTCCTTTTCCCATTCTTGGCATTTGTTAAGTTCGTTCTTGCCTTCTGTCTTAATCGTACCTTCACTTTGGTGTGCTGTTCTCTGGTAAGGTAAAGGCCATGAGTAAAGGCAGCACTAAAATAGTGTGACTGAGGGCAGCAGAATCTGGCAGCACTAAAATAGTGTGATTGAGGGCAGCAGAATCTGTCCATCACGCTGGCAGCTCCTTTATGGGCTCCTGTACTGACTGCATTTCTAAGGCTGAACACAAATGGGGTGGCATGTGCATGCACTTGGTGTCAGCTCAGTAATAGAAGATGCTGGGGAAAGGACTCAAGCTGCTTTTTGTTATTACAGCATGATCCCACTCATTTTTGAGTGCAATCTGTGCTTCGCTGCGTTGCCTCGTGACTTTTGTTCAGGGGCAGTAGTGAGCAGCATCACTGGGTCGCCAGACAATGGCAGTTGCAGGTAAATGGGCTCACAGCTCAATTAGCAGCTACTTAAGAACAGGGATTGAGAGTTTCATACCCACAGTCAGAAGCATCCACAAGAATTTGACAATTACCAGCCCCGATTTGTCACAAACAATCTTATCTAACACAAATTCCAGGTTCTGGTCTTGATACAACTTCTAGCTTTTAAAGACTAAGTAGAAACTTGTGAGTATCCAGTACCTGCCTAATGAAGGGGTCTTGCACTTGCTCTTTGCTGTGACAGGATCAAAAAAATGCTTATGTTTAATGAAATTTTATTATCTGGCCTCTAGATTCCGTGAGCCACATCCTGTGATCAGCAGCGGGTTATAGGGTTTCAGGAGGAAAGGTACATGTTTCTTTACAGTCTCAGTAAATCACCAACCTAACGTTATTCTGGACTGTCCTGAGATATCTTAGCTCTGCACCAAGACCAGGCTGCTCGTAGGCTCAGTTTCATTGCTCTTAATCTGTGTCATATGTTTCTTTGTTGTGTTATGGAGGGATTTTACTTCAGGTGCAGAAATACAAACTAAAATTCGGAAGGGAACAAAAAGCAGGATGACGGACTTAGGAACAAGCAGCCCGGCAGTGCTGAGCACAGCTAGCTAGCTCATCTCATCTCATTGAGCGGTACTTTTATTTCAGAGAAGGGCGAGTGAGCTGGTGGCAGCGTTTTATATATAGTAAGGCTGGACAAAGCAATGCTGTGTGATTTACATATCCATTGTCTGGCCTGTGCTTACAACTTCAGGGGGCTAGGCACCTTGGAGGGGGAGGCAGGGATAGTAGATGGGATTCCTGTGACAGCACAGCTCTTAAATATAAACTTTTTGCTCTCTGGTACCTTGCATCCAGAATTGTATCAGCAGTCATCTTAAAGAGGAAAAGGTAACAAGCTCAAGAACTAATTCCACACTTGTTTTATGGTACATCCTCTCTTTAATGCAATATCCAGTAAACGTTTCTTATTTTGCTGTTTTATGAGTCCAGTTCTTTCCAGCTTCAACTATTGAAATTTAAGGCAGTAAAAAGAGGTAATCAAGCTAAGCTGGTTTCTATCTATTGCATTTTTATGATGTAGGCTTTTATATTAGTAGATTGTGAGGAGTTGCTCACAGACTGAATTAATTTCTTGAGACTTTGCCGGCTCAGCCAGAATATATAAGACAGGATCCCCTTGTGCTGGTGAAAACGTTATTGCTTCCGCACATAATATGATTCTACCTAAAAAAGTGCTGCACGAGTACAAGTTGCCAGGGGAGCAGTATTAAGAATTTATAGTCTCATCATGGCTCTGTAATTGGGCTCCCCAATGAAGGAAGAAAGGACGGTGTTAAAATGAAAGGAAATATTTCTCATTTGCCTCTCTCCAAGGCC